ATTCAACACATTAATTATCTTATTCTATATTATAGTTATGATAGAGCCATCCAACCATTTCTAGATCGTCTTATTAAGCTTCAATTGATTTGCATGTCGAGCAATAATTTAGTTGAAGCAGATAAGCGTTGTTTCTCATTCTTTAAACCCTATAGTAACCTTTATTAATTATTTTAAATTTCTTTGTAGGGGGTTCCAAGTTCTCAGCCTCAGCAATAACAGTTAATCCTATATTTGAATTTACAAATTATATGATGCTAATTGAATATAATTATTCGTGTAGTAGAATATTAAGCCGGCTTAGGTATAAATATTCATACAAGTCTCAGATTACAATTTCAATGTTTAATTCAACCTTCAATAATTTCTTCAAAAATCTCTTTAGCATATAGTTAAAATATAATGAAATTAGACTATTACGGACACGGAGTATTTATCTCAATATAAGATAAAAAATTCAATCTCAAGTTCGATCGGGTTCAAGATTGTAATGTGAAATTCATCATGTATAAAGTCGAATTTGAAGTTTAACAGCTTTTACCAATTTATAAATTTAGGTATTTTATATTATTCTTCGCATTTACATTCTTTTTCATGATTATACGATAAATGAACGTCACATTAGGATATCACAGCAATGTGACTTGATCCTGAACTGATATAAAGCTTTATTTCTATAGATTCACAACTATATCTTTAAGCAAATATTTTACTTTAACATAGTATTATACAAAAGTTAGAAAGTATGATAGATCCTAAGTCCTTATTTCTAGCAGAGATTACTGAAGATATTACTTTTAGAAATGTTAAACGTTGGACGATAGATCAGGTTGCGAATTGGCTACAAGAAAATAATTTTAAAAAATATCAAAAACTTTTCGCAAGTATTAGTCTTAATAAATTGTTTGTTTTTGTATCTTATTCATTATAATATATTCTAAATAAACAAATTAAGCGTATTCAATTTATGTTTACGTAAGAAAATAATATAAATGGAGACTTGCTTTTGGAATTAGATCATGAAGCTCTCAGAGAATTAAAGATTAGGTCAACTGCTGATCGTGTAAGATTCTTGGCGCGTTAAGGCACCTTATAAATATTTGCATTGAAAATAGCTATAACAGATAATTCGATATTTTAAGGTTTGTACTATTGTTTTTTTTTTATTTTCTTATAGTTAATTATATTAGCCAGTTTAAGTAATATTTAACCTATCATAATTGACACTCTTATACAAAACCCCATATACTGGACCTTAATGAGCTAAAAAAGGTTTATCATATTTATCTACTCTAGATATACCAACTTCAAATATTAACTAGGCTAGTATATGCGGTAACTGTATATATTTTTATGTGTTAAATGTTCATCATATTAGGCCATGCAAAGTTGATTTTTCGTTTAGCATTACCCGCCAACCCG